CTGGTCCCGCTGATGCGGAGCCGAAGCGGGAGGCCGGCTCCGTGGAGCGGACGGTGCAGCTGGGCGTTTGAAGCTTCCGCGCCGTTCGTCCCATCCTCTGGCAGAACGGCCGGAGTGCGAGGCTGACCGAGGGTGAACCAGGTCTCGTACCGTAGCCGATAGTTCGGCCGTCTTCTGAGCCCTCTTAATGACGCCCCTAAGATGGGGACCAAACAGAACATCGGTGGTGATGGGGCCGTCCAGCATCTCCCTTTGCAGATGTTCCGGAATGGAGGGCAGGGCCTTGAGCCATATCGCTCGCTGGATGAGGGTCTGCCAGGCAGCGATGCGAGCAGAACCGGTGAGCACAGCAGCACACAAATTGAGGATAGCATCAGCAGTCTTAGTAATGACGGCTTTCGACTCCTCGGGGGCTTCCAGCTCCTCCATCATCCTCGAGACGCCGAAGGCAAGGAGGGCGATGTTATTCCCTGCAGCGCCGGTCTGAAAGGCACACTGATGTGCGCGGTCGGTGAGCCGCGTCAGCAGCTGGTCATGTTTTGAAGCGGGAACAGCTCGCGGGCCAGCGAGGTGGTTCTTGGCGCCAAACAGCGAGGCCAAGTCCGGCTCTAGCGGAGGAACGGACGGCCAGCCTTGGTCGGAAAACCCCTCGACCTTGGTGATGGGCGCATAGGTGGAGACTGGCGCCTTGAGCTTGGCAGGCTCGGAGAAGGCGGCAGACCAGCAGCTCATAGCAGCGGGAAAGCGCGGCCAAATAGGGTCTAGACAGCGTGTCTGAGTTGCCCCGAAGATTCCCGCCAAATCATCCGCTTCAGGCGGGGCTGGTTCTGGCACAGCTAGCCCCTTGTGGGCTGCTGCCGCAGAAATGATGGCGGGCAGCTCCTGGAGCTGTGCTCTTACTGCTGGCAGGGAGGAGCGAGAAGCCACTGGGACAGAAGGACCCGCTGGGCGGAGCTCATCGACCTCCGTTATGTCTAGGAGGGATGCCGCCTCGTCGTAGTTCTCGCTGTCGGTGACGTCATCCAGCCGGTTGAAGCCAGCCGGCTCCTGACTGGCGTCGAAGAAATCCAACGCCTTGTCCAGCGGGTACGAGTCAGCCACCGGAAATTCTTCGTCGGCGGCGGGAGTGAAGTACTCGACCCGGCGAATCTTCTCCGCCACGGGCAGAGCGGCACAGAACGGGCACGAGGCCTGCGGGGTCAAGGCCAGGCCAGCGTGGTGAGCCCCGAGACAGACCTCACACTTAGCGTGCAGGTCTCCGCTGGAAATGGAGCCCGACTGGCAGGTCGGGCAGGGTCTGGCGTCGCTGGACATGGCTGGTAAGTCTTCTCGGATAATCTTGCTCTTTCTGGATAAATTTGCTCTTTAAGAAGCTCTCAGCTTGGCATGAAGAGAAAAAGGAGGCGAGCAGTGGGGTCACTGCGGTTATATACCACGAGGGGGCCCACTATTGGTGGGCGTACATTTAAGCTCTTCATGATTGGCTGATGCGGAGATCATCCTTCCAATAGCAGCTAGCTTAAGGGCTAAGACTAGACGAAATAGAACAGGAAAACAGGAGGCACAATAAACAAATCAGCCATAACAGACCACTGTACCAAAGAAAATCACACAATGGACTGAGATGGCACACGGATCATAAACACAGAACAACAAAAGTTTAAAAGATGTATCAAAGAAGCAGTTGAAATAAGGAGGCGTAGACCCAGGACCATGAACAGGGACGAAGTAGTCTACACGCTGGACCATTCATGGGAAATAATCAGCGGAGAGGGCGCAGGCAGCAGAGGGTGATATCGTCCTCTGCTGCCCGCGGGTAAAAGGATGTGACGCCACCAACATCTGACGGTTACCCTGACAAAGACGGCAGTGACATCGAAACATGCCGACAAAGGTAAAAACAAACCCTCATCACACTACAACTAAGAACTAAAGAAAACAAAATGGTGTTAGAGTTCATATTTTCTTTTCCTTTAAGAAAATAGACTTTCACTTCGAATTTTTATATGAATTTGTCCTTTAAAATGATCTAAACACATATGCAGAATGAAAACCAGCGTTTACCCTCCTCTCATTAAACTTTCCGACCCAAAGTGGGGCAAAAAGTATTTCGTCAGCTTCCAAATGTTTACGTTCTCCCATTGAAAATGATGAGAGAGGCCTGTAATTTGTAGGTGTACCTCAGCCATGAGAGAAAAAAGGAGAAAAAAATCCAGAAAATCACATTGTCTGATTTTGTAAGAATTTATTTGCTAATTATGGTGGAAAATAAGTGTTTGTTCTCCTACAAAGAGGCAGTGTTCCAGGCTCTCACAGACCTGTAACTTATTCTGTGAGAGGCTCCTCTGTCCTTCACTCATTACCTGTATTAATGGCACCAGCTGGAACTCGTTATCAGTATAAATGACAACTGTCCACAACCTCTGTCACACTCCAAAGAACATCCCCCCTTCTCTCACGGGCCAATACGGAGATGCTGATGCATGCTTTTATCACGAGTAGGATAGACTACTGCAATGCCCAGCTTTCTGGTCTTCCTACTAAAAAGAGGATTTCAGGTCTACAACTATTACCAAACTCAGCAGCACGTGACCAGATGAAGGCCAGGAGGCAGGAGCATATCACTTCAGTTTTAGAATCACTGCATTGGCTCCCCGTATGTTTCAGGATCATTTTAAAAAATACTTTTCATGGTTTTTAAGTGTCTTAATGGTCTTGGGCCTTCTTATCTTTCAGAACTGCTCATATCGTATGAACCCACGCGGTCTCTACGCTCCTCTGGCAGCCGTCTTCTTGTCATCCCTAACGTCAGGACACATTCACGGCGAGGCATCCTTTCAGTATTACGGTCCTCGCCTCTGGAACGAGCTGCCAGGGGACCTCAGGGCCACAGAGAACGTTCATGTTTATAGAAACAGGCTCAAGACCCATCTTTTAGCTTAGCTTTTGACTGATCACTATCACTTTTTAATTAAATAAATCAAATAATTAACGAGGTTATTTATTTATCTAGTTATTTATTTATTTCATGTATTCTTTCTTTATATATTTTTAAACAGAGTTTTTACTATAGATTTATGATCAACATTATTTTAATATCTATATAATTTTTTATATTACAATTCTCATTTTAGGTCTTATGATTTTATATTTTAACCTCAATTTAACCCTTTTTCCAGTGTTTCCTCTGTGGGTGCCCTCTGCCCCGGGAGCGGTGGTTGGCTGTGGCAGCCTGGGTGCTTTCCAGGTGTGCCTAGGTGGAGGTGGGGGTCTCCGCCCTCCCTGCCCTGGGTGCCCTGGGTCGGTGCCTCGGCTGCTGCTGTGGATCTGCTGCTGTCGGGGCAGATGGCTCCCCTGATGGTGTTTCCTTATCTTTATCTTAGCTGGTCTGGCTCATCTGATCTCAGTCCATTGTATATATTCCATGGGTGTGTGTGTGTGTGTGTGCGTGTGTGTGTGTGTGTGTGTGTGTGTGTGTGTGTGTGTGTGTGTGTGTGTGTGTGTGTGTGTGTGTGTGTGTGTGTGTGTGTGTGTGTGTGTGTGTGTGCGTGTGTGTGTGTGTGCGCGCACGCGCGCTGGAGGATGAGTGTTGTGAAGGGGTTTTTATTGTCAGACTGTTTTTAAAATCCTGGGGATGGGAGGGAATGTGGGTATGTGGTGTCATGACTATGGGGAGTTTCCTGACCCTCTCTACAGCATGTTGTGCCAGCTGTCTGGCATTAATTCATAGCCTGGACATTTCCATTATTCTTTCATTATTATTCTTTGTTTCCATCTAACAGGAGCTCAGGATAATGGTGAACGTCCAGGGAAAAGACATTGAGACAGTGGACTATTACAAGTACCTGGGTGTCCACCTCAACAATAAAGTGGAACGCTCTACAACAACAGACGCTTTGTATATAAAGGGCCAAAGTCGACTCCACCTGCTGAGAAGATTGAGGTCCTTTGGAATTTTATGATTCGCCGGTAGCATCTGCCCTTTTCTATGCAGTGGCCCGTTGGGGAAGCGGATGTACGCACAGGAACAGGAGCAGGATTGACAAATTGGTGCTGAGGTCTAGCTCTGTACTGGGATGTTGTCTGGAGTCTGTGGTGGTGGTAGGCATGCACAAAGCAGCTCCTTCAGCCAGAGACTGAAACACCCCCGCTGCAGGAAGGAGCGCTTCCCTAGGTCATTCATTCCGACAGCAGTTAGGATTTATAACACATTATGATGTAGTAGTCACCCAGCCACTTTAACTCTATGGTCAGTGCTCCATTCATAATACACCAGATATATGTACATTTGTACATATGTTAGTGTCTTGTCTTATTTTGTTTTTTAATTGTTGCATTCTTGGTCATTTTCGTACTCCTTTGCTATCTGATTTGAGCTGTGGTAACACACTAATTTTGCCACTGTGAGATCAGTGAAGTCTTATCTTAGCATTCGTAACATTTATACTGTACAATGCAGACATTCCAGTGGTCTTCCTACCAGACTCCTGCAAATGTATTGATTAAATAAGTTTCCTGCACCTTTAAAGCATTGTGTCTAAGTTAATGACGTGTTAATCCAGCTTTTGACAAAATGAATCGTTCCTCTATGGCCATTAAAACTTTACTAATTTACTTAAGGAAGTAGCTCAGGCTTTATGGTGCGCTATATTGGACACACCAAGCTGCCTTTATTTTACAACAACACATATGTGGTTATAGAACTATAATCTGAGGCGTTTTTATGTATGAGGATTTTATTGTCACACACACACACACACACACACACACACACACACACACACACACACACACACACACACACACACACACACACACACACACACACACACACACACACACACACACACACACACACACACACACACACACACACACACACAAAACCTATGAAAAGTCAAGTCCTAAATAAAAGCCCAGCATTGTTGATGACTCATTACACAAAGAAGGAACAATTGTAAGAATACTTTTTATTTAAAACTTAATATTAAAACATCAGAAGTACATTTTAATGACTCATGCAACAATAAGTAAATGATACTTAGTGTCAAACATGTCAGTTGACATTTAATCGCTCATACTGCTCAGTCACAGGTCAATAGTAGTTATGTCTTTATGGTAAAACATTTATTTACCATCATTTCACCAACTATTGAAGACGTGACATCGTAAAAATCACATTAAAACAAACTGCTGCCTCATTAAGGCTAAAACTGCTGGTTACAAGGAAGCAAAGCATCAAAATTAGTGTTTTTAACAACTTTCCTATATCTCAAACTGGCAACGAGATCCTGATCCAAGTACAGCTTTATTAACTTTATGGGAAATAATTTAAATGTAAACATTCCCTGGTCACAGTCAATAATGTGCAAAGAAAATAATAACCCGTAACATATTCTGGTGTAGATAAAACATCTCTAATGACGAACTGCATTAGCTCAGCACCACTTTCACAGCTTTATCTTCAGAATTTAGTAAATAATACATTTAGACTTGGTGGGGTAACAGCGTCACAATGCTCCTAGCATGATATCTTAAAGTAAAATTCACTGTCAAGGTTTTGGACATATGGCATTGATCACAATTTAAACCTGAGTTACAAAGATCATGATGAAGTCAAGATGCACAAACTAACAAAATGTATTGTCTTTATTGTTGTGTTATTAGTAATATAGTTATTTAAACGTAGCATTAAAGAATATGTTGAGTAACTGTTCAGAGTTGCATCAGACCAACCAGTGGTGACCAATTGAAAACATCTGGATGGAACAAAATAAAAACTGGAGAATGAGTTCATGGTTGAACCCAGTCAAGACTTTACTTTGATTTTTTTTTTCAAACCTTTTGGCATGTATTTAATTTCCTTTTGTGGCTTAATTTTTGCTTGAATTCTGTAAAACAAAATAGTAAATTATATCAATTTTAGTAACAAATTGCAGAAACTTTTCAGGTCGAAAATTCAATTCCGACAAGTTCATTGAACAACTCACCATTGTGTGTTGCGTTTCTTGGAGTCAGCCTCCCCAAGTAGCACGTCCACAGAGAAGAGTTGTAGTAGTGGTGACCACAGCAGTTGAATCCTTCCATCTTGGTGTAAAACTCTCTCTGAACGGTACTGTTGCAGCAAATTGTCTGTTTGAGAAGAATACAGTTACTGTTTATTTCATTGGGAAATTAATCTGTTTGCTGCCAAATGTTTAATCCAACCAAACTAAAAAACTCAACTTAATTAAACAACACCAATTCATGTGAAATGAACAAACTGGTACAGATGGATGGAAGAATGCATGGTTGGATGGATCGATTGGTGCATGGATGGATGGATGAATGGTTGATGAATAGATGATGAACAGATGGATGCATGGATGGATGGATGGGTGGAAAATATAATAAATAATATTTTTGATAGAATATCCATTAATGTTGGCACTCACTCATTATTTTAATAAATCTGCATTTGTCAATAGTAGTTGAATTAATGTCTTGTGAGAAAAAAGCTCTTGCGCTCCTGTCTCAGGAAGTAGAAGTTAGTCAGATGGAAGTGGAAAACAGCAGGATTTATAGTCCTACTCAATTATATTCTCCCCTCTCCCCTGATCGGCTAACAGCGATGCAGCTCTTCCACTGCCTCCATTTGCTCTGTAATGTTGATGTGTTATTGCCACAAAGCCTGAACGTTTGCTGCCATGGTGTGGAGCTGCTAATGCTAATGGTTTGCTTTTACTAATAGAGATATTCTCTGCTCTCTTCTGGACACTAAGTCAACAGCAGCCTTCCCAGCTTAGCGTGCCAAGACTTGTCTGATTTACTCCAATATGTAAATTAAAAAAAAAAAGTTGACAACCAACAATAATGCCAGGAAGAATAAACAAATGACTCCTTATAGAAAGTTTATTATTTTTATATTTATTTTTGATTCCCCCATAAAACAGCTGCATGGTGGTGCAGTTGCAGCACTTCTACTGTATGTCATAGGAACAAGACCATGACTGTGGCTTTTCACATGCATGTCTCTAAATTAGGTGACTTATTGTGTGACTGGTTGTCTCAGTTGTCTCAGTGTGGCTGTATGATGCTGGAGTTGGGTTCCATCTCCTAATGACCCTAGTCAGGATGGATGGATGAGTTCCTAAAACTGTTATTAAAATGTACAGATTTAATTAATCAAAAGAAATTTTTACCGGGTTTGATGTTTTGTTGGAGCTCTTCTCTGGTTGACCTACACTGTTAGAAAAATAGCAGACAACATTTTTGTTGTTACATTAGTTAATTAATACAATCTCACCAGAATATGATGTTTTTTAGACATTGAATTTATGACATTTAATTTTTATTCTGTGAAATTATGCATTTCAATTTTTAAAGGTGCAGTATGTAAGAATATAGTGAGAAAATCCCAAAAGAGTCTGATGTTTCAGTCATTTTGGAAGGAAGGTTACACTGAAACTAGGGCTGGGCGATATAGACCAAAACTTGTATCTCGATTTCTTTTAGCTGAAGTCCGATATACGATATATATCTCGATATTTTTCCTCCTGTAAAATATTTACAAGTTAACTCACTTCAAGCTGTCTTGAGAAATTGTATACATAAATCTGTAATAAATGCATAACAATGTTTTGATTCTTGTCAAACTTTAACCTTAGTGCCTATTCTCTACCAGTCTGAGCTTTATAAACACTGGTACAGCTGTCTGGACACACACACGCGCACGCGCGCACACGCACGCACGCACGCACACACACACACACACACACACACACACACACACACACACACACACACACACACACACACACACACACACAGAGTTGATAGCCAGAGTGTATCAAATGTCCCACAGGCACTTTGTGATTATATATTTATAATTTATGTAAAATTATTTGAATTTCATCCAGAGGTGGCCGTATCGTACATTTCTTGTCCAGAGAAAAAATCTATCATGTTAAGCTAAGTTTATGATGATGTAATTGCATCTACTGAGGATCACATGGGTCATGCACCGTGGAGTTATTAGTTATTAAGGCAAACATGGCTGGAATCTAACAGCATTGGCTCATATCAGTGATTATACTGTAATGACTCAGAGTCTCTGGTTGCTCTTTTATGAGTATTATTTTTGGGTTACTGTCGCTGTAACCCACGCCTTACAAACTCTTTAACTTTTTCAACAGAATCGCTCGTAACGGAGTATTTATTAGCATAGCAAACTAGAGCGGAAAAAGCTGGAACCGGAACAACATTTTTCACCCGTTGAGCTCGCCTTCAAAATCAAACGTCAACCCTGTCATTTACTGTTCAAACCCTTACAATACGTTTGAGGTAGGGAGGGAGGGGTTTGGCTCATCTCTCCGCAAAAGCAGGATGGATAAACAGAATTCTGTTGGCGTTGAACGTCCAAAATAATTAAAAACCAGGATGCCAAATGCAAAGTTTAGAGCAGCACATTTACCCAGAGGTTCTCAGATTGAGCAAACTTGTGAGAATACACGTAATAACTGCTTAGAGACGTTAGCTACATGTCACTAGCATAACAGCTGATCGCTAACATAGTAGTTTGACCCGTTATGTCGATATAAAGATATAAAGTCATCTTGTATCTTGTTGAAAAATTATATCAACATTTAAAAATATCGATATATCGCCCAGCCCTAACTGAAACATATTTCACATCCAGCTGGCTACGGGGATCAGTTTTTCTCCTTTCAAAGTAAAGGAAGGAGGGGCGTAACTATTGTTTACCATCAGTGAGTGTGGGGTTGCCGTGTCTGCTGCGAGCTAATGCTGCAGAGCCAACAACTGTAATATGATAACGGCTTGCACTTTATCAGCACAAATTCAAAAAGAAATTAGGTGACTTCCTGGTGACCCAAGTCAAAGAAATTGTCACTTGATCGAGTTGACACCTTACTGGTCTCACTGGTGTCAGAAGCGTGATTTAACTCTCTAAAAGTCACTTGAACAATTACTTTGGCTTGGGTCACCAGGAGATCACCGCAGCAGTAGAATTTTTGCTAATGAAAATCTGCAGCTGAGCTTTTTACAAATGAAATTTTTGCTGGTATATTTTAAGTAAAAAAATAAAATACATAATTTCACAGAATAAAAATTCAGTGTCATAAATCTTAGAGACTATTTCTTCCATGCTGTAGGATATTGTCCTTATTTTCTCTACCAATTCCTACAAAACTTGAGAAATCTACGAAAACAAGCTTCATTGTTGATTTGTTCACTATTCTAACAAGATCCCATGTATGCTCAGTATAGCAGCCATTCAGTATTGTTATAATGGGAACATGATCATAAATATCCAGTAAAGGTTAATTTTAAACTTGTAAACTTAGAGGATATATTTAAAATCCCAAACCAGTGACATACCATTGTGTTTCTGTAGTAGCATTCGTGTATTTTGTCAGGTTCTTTTCTGTAAATAAAAAATCAAGTAAATACAACAAAGTTCTAGTAGAATAGTGTTCTTTACAATGTTCAATATTAATAATAAGATGGTGTCTCCTGCTGATTCACACATAACAGTTCCTGCCTATCTGTTCAAATATTCAATTTTCTAACACATTTAGCTGTAGGCTAATTATTTCATCAGTGTGATTGTATGCAGGTGAGTAGGAGTGACCTCACATCCTGAGGTACATAAAAGCTCCAAAAGAACAACATGGCTTTAAATACCTGATCTTTCTATTTTACAAACTGGATCAACAATGATGACAGTTGTTTTTATAAATATAAAGAAAAAATACTAAAATGAATGACGTTCTGTTTATTATTATTTGAAACCTATTTAATTTCCTGCCTGAGCGGACGTTTCAGTGTCCTGAGTCCCCCCTATACTAATGTCTGATATTTGTTGAAAATTAAATCTGTGGTATGATTTAAATTAATCTAGTTTCTGTATAAAACTCAAAAATAATAAAAAGGAAAACCTGCATGGTAGCTTTAGTCACATGTTATTCAGAAGTGGTGAGGGTACTTACCACAGCAGCATGTATTGTTGGATCGAGGCTGCACCAGTGGTTGATTCTTTATACAGCAGCACTCGGTATACAGGTTGTACTGGCTACTTAAACAGCACTCATGGTCAGGGGACAGCTTTGTCCGGACCACCATGTTTCCATATTTGCCACAACACAGCTGCAGGTTGCTGTCATATTGCTCTGTGGGAAAGAAAATCTGCATTTCAAAACATCTCTATAAATGGTAAATAGCCTAAAGCACCTTAGAGTCCTTGTGCTATTCTGATGATGCTCCTGATAAAAATATGAGACTAAAAAACATTGTTGACACATACATAAATCAATCAATCAATCAATACGTTATTAATCCCAGAGAGAAATTAGAGTTTCAGTACACACAATTCAGAGACCAGACATACATGGGCAAGACACATGACAAGAATTGGTGACTGTGGTCATTCGCAACCCGAGTCCCGCTACCTTAATAGAGATAAGAGGGTTACACGAGGATTGGTTCAGGTGGAGGGAAAAAAAGCACTTCAGAGTTACCCTCCACCGGGAGGGCAGCTTTGCTATGCAAAAAACACCTCAAACAGAAATGCCACAGACTTCAGACAGCACAACATAACACGAGACTCCAATAGGAAGGCAGGGGGGTGGGGGTGGGTGGGGGCTGGGATCCTGTTTCCCCCAGCGAGAGCAGCCATCTACGGCGCTCATCTTGTCACAATCTGCTCCTGCCTCCCTCCGTCTGTGACTCTCCCCTGCCTCCTGATTAGTTTTTATTTGTCTCACCTGCCCCTTGTTAACCTGCCCATGTGTTCCTGATTTTCCCCTGTATATTTATACCTCCCTTCTTGTATCAGTCATTGTTGGATCATTGTTGTTTGTCGTGTTGTTCTCGTTGTTCCTGCCATATCCTGTCATTAAACCCATTTTTACTTTATCCATGCCTGCATTCCTGCCTCCCGGTCAGCTCCACCACACATGGTCCACCAACTCCTACAGCTCAACTTGACAGAATGATCTGACCAACCTGGACCTGTGGTGAGCTATAACATCTGCCTGGAGGATTATTTTTTATTTATTTATTTATTTTTTTTGCTTTGTCTCTGTCCAGCGGAAGGAGATTCCGACTCAAGGGGTTTCGGCGCATCCTACCTGTTTCCGGGGTGGTCGGACCCATTGAGGGGGTTTCGGCGCATCCTATTTGTTCCCGGGGTGGTCAAAACCATTCTCCTCTCCTGCTGTCCACCCCGTCCTGTTTTTTCCCCAACGGAAGCCGCGGATCCTGGGGTTTTGGTGGAGTAAAACCCCCTACGCACGCCATCATTCTCCGGGGTGGTAGGGCTGGTCTCCCCGCTCCTTCTTCTGCTTCCCTGCACCCAAGCCTCTGCCTGTGACCCAGATGATTGTGATGTGCACCTGCTCTGACCATTTGTCGAGTACCTGCCGCCGATCCTGGTTTCCTCGCGTCGCTCCTTCAGTTCAGCAACTTCCTAGTCCACGCCTGCGGGGCCTACGCCTGCAGGTCCTTCATGCTGCAGTCTCTTCAGAGTCCCGCCTGCTGCAGCCTCTTCAGGGTTCCACGCCTGCTGCAGCCTCTTCAGGATCCCACGCCTGCTGCTGCAGTCTCTTCAGGATCCCACGCCTGCTGCTGCAGCCTCTTCAGGATCCCACGCCTGCTGCTGCAGTCTCTTCAGGATCCCACGCCTGCTGCTGCAGTCTCTTCAGGGTCCAGTTCCCGAGTGTTACAGTTCCCGTGTCCATAGGCGTCATTTTAACCGGGGACACCGGGGACATGTCCCCGGCAAAATTTGTAATTGGCAGCTGTGTCCCCCCCACTTTCAAAAAAGCCTGCTGATGAGGGTTTTTGTTTTACCAGCTCAGATCTTTTACCAGGGGTCGGCAACCTGTTCCCATCAAAGAGCCATTATTACCCGTTTCCCACAGTAAAGAAAACACCGCATCAGTCGCAGCGTTGTGGGCGGGGCCTACCCTCAGACAGCAGAGCGCTGCTCACAACAGGTGACAGTAGCCGGTACCATGGGCGTCGCACCCGTGGGGGATTCAACACCCACACTTTTCCAGCTGTTTGCTCACCTCCACACCAGTCTGGTCTCTTTAGGTCGCACTCACTCTGTTTGCCTCATCTCCTTCTTCACCTCCCGCTTCTGACAGCCGATGTTGGGTTTCCAGGAGAGCAGGAGAGGGAGGGACGGAAGAGCTCGACTGAATAATTTTACATCTTGACATTAGCTGTACAAAGTCTGAGTTTGATAAAGTGAAGAACAACCATTTGCAGAGGTTTATAATAGGCGCGGCGCCAGGTTTTCATTTTTGGGTGGGCCACGGTAATTCTGGACGGACCTTAATAAGCAGTGACTTAGTGAAGCAGGCAGGTCGCGCTAGAAAATTTCGTTTAAAAAGACGTCATAAATGTGTTCCCCCGTCATTTTTATTTCTAAAATATGAAGTAAAAACTCCCAATTTAATTTTCATTCATTTGTCATTAATATGTAGTCTACACCCGTGCGTTAAGTGGACCAACATCCAGTAAACGCAAAGCATCCAGCCCACCTCTCCAAATGCGTAAAATGTGCATCAGCCGCTAGTTAGGCGTGCCGCGCGCTCCATCAGCTATCGGCCCAGACGAGAGCAGAGCAACTAGAGAAAGAATAGAGGATAATTCTGTCTGGATGTGGATGGAGATTACATTTTACAGCAGCCTGATCATCATTTAAATACATAAACCATCACCTGTCTTCTAGTCCATGCTATCAGCATTATTTTATCTGGTGTGTGTGTGTGTGTGTGTGTGTGTGTGTGTTTTCCACTTCAAACACTGGTCTAACCAACCAGACCTACGTGTCCAGTAACATATTAATGTTACAATTAAACAGTTTCACTTCATGTAGGCTATAGGAACGTTTCACCTGCCGTGGCCCGACCGCTTCTGCTCCACATAAACTTTGTGCGTGATCAAATGTCTCTACAGGTGCTTTCTGAGCTGAAGAGGCGACTGGATGCGTCATGCGTCTCCATATTGGAGACGGGAACAAGCACTGTTCAGCCAAACTTTCATAATTTCATAAAAATAACATTTTTCCAAGTGACACATCCCTCAGAGAGACCGGGTTTCCAGACCGCTTCAGTGGGAGGAAATCAACAACATCCTTGAGTTTATCCGTCAAAATAAACAGTCAAATGGAAATATCTGTAACCTGTCATTTAACTGTTTTGCCTTCCTGTGAAGATTGTTGCAAAGAGAAACAATTAAACTTGATTAACCCCAGAGCCACGCGCACTGCGCTGTACGTCGTGACTGTAAATGAGGGGGAAACGATTTAATCGGATCCTTTTCTCTTCAACATGGTTTAATGTAAAGTTTCATTCAGTACAAACTTTAGTTACACCAATATAACGAGACAGAGCCTGGATTTGGATTCTGAACAGTTTAAACATGTTTAAAACGGAGACATGCGTGACGCGTCTAAAATTCGCACCTGCTCCGCTATTATGGAAATTAAAATAACAAGATGAATAGCATGAACTTATTTTAGGCACAGACAATATCCCCCACACTTTTGAAAAGTTTGCAACGCGCCTGGTCGCTCGTGTACGTCAAAGTTATCTTTCGTAAGAAGATAATCAATAAAACGATTTATATAAAGTGGATCCAGAAGTTGTAGCCCCTCTCTGCCGACAATATTTTGATATTTTTCACCCTGTTGGTGGTTTTACTGAGCAGGTGCCACTTTTGTCACGCGATTCTTTTTAAAACATGTTTAGACTGTTCAGAATACAAATCCGGGCTATGTCACGTTTGATTGTTGTAATTAAACTTTGTAGGTGGGGAAGGTCAGAAAGCAGCATCTGTCTGCATTCCTTCGTGGGGGGTTTTAGTTGCTTGCAGCTCAAGGCTCCCAGGGCATCAGATTCAGATAAGAATTTGTTTGAGTCAGGCTGAGATAATTTTCCTTTCTGCCTTCAGTCTTTAAACTGATCATTCCAGTCATTCAGTGAAGCCAATTTTTGGTTTTTAAACCTGTCCATACCGTCCAGTGACTTTCTCCGAGATGACATCCATTTTGCGCACTAATACCGGTATCGCAGCTAGAACATTGTCCATTTTACGATTCACCTCGAGTAACATCCCAGTCTGAAAAGTCTCCACACGGACGGTGCTTTCTGTGGGTGCGGGTCGCCCTCCAATCGCTCCCGTCTTCCCAAATTTCCAGAAAACCAGATATCCTCCCACTCCAATCAGGAGAAATCCAGCGATCATCAGGCTGAATATCCACACGTCTTCGATGTCCTCAGTGGATTGCTGGCAGAGGCATATGATCTTCCACACCTTCCAGGAATCCAACATATATCCCACCGGGTGTGTCCCCTGTGGACATGTGGGAGCCCCTATGGGCTTAAATAAGGGCCATAATGTTTGTGTAGTTAAAAGAAAAATTTGAAATCGAAAATATGTAAACTGAAAGCAAAAGTCACATTTTTAGAGTGAACTTTGAAAAAGAAAGCCTTGGATTTTAAAAAAAATCAAACGTTTGGAATATTTGTAAGAACTTAAACCCCAATGGTATTTTTATTTTGAATTTTTCTGAGTAAACTTTACTAAAAAAAATGTCAGTAATTTATTTTTCAATTATTATTTTTTTTAAATCCAGTCAGTCTCAGATTACATTTTTTCACATTCAGATCTTTTTAATTAATGTACAAAAAATTTCTTTCAGCTTCAGATTTATTTTTTTCACTTTCGGATCTGTATTTTTCAGTTACAGACTTCTGGCCCTGTTTTGGCCTGGTGGGCGTGGCTACACTGAGAGGGGCGGGGAATCATGAGTGACAGCATGCCGCTAGAGGCTGAAGACGGCCCATTTTTCATGTTACCTTCAGAAAACCTGGGAATAAACAAAATTTATCAAACACCTCCTGCACTGTATTATTTGATAATGGTTGGAGAACATGTCATGCATAACTCATAAACTCAGTTACTAAACCTCTTTCAATCAGTAATGTGTACAAATTACGCCGTGACTGATCAATTATGAGAAGTTTTCCCAACCACTATGTGAGAAGTGGTCATTTCCCATGCTCTCAAAGTAGCGTGCGTGGGTGCTGCTTTGCGCCTCAGTGAACAATGGCGTCGTCTTCCGACAACACTGCTGGCGCGAACAATCAGGTGAGTG